GCTCGGCGAGCGCTCAGCGACACTTGTGGTCGTCACGTGCGAGGGGAGCCCCGGAGTTCGGCGGGCAGAGGAGGGCTGGGATGGGGAGGAGGAGGACGAGGCCACTACTACGTGATTCTGCTCGGGTCCTTGGCGCAGGCCATGGTCCACGGCTGGTGCCGCGCCCGGTACGCCCCAGCACGCCCCGCCCCGCCTCGCCCCGCCACGGCCGCGGCGGCACAACTGCGCGGCGACCTGGTGAAGGGGTTCCCGTAAAGCCAAACCAAAAATAAACGCACGGATAGAAAGTGAAACGGATCCCGGTGCGGGCGCTCATAGCAGCTTCAGCTTGGTCCTCATCGCGCCCAGCTTCGGGAGGGGTGGCGGCTGCTGCAGGGCCGCGCTGGCCGCGCCGTGAGAGCGCAGCGGGCGCAGCGCGGCTGCAGCGCTGGCCGCTGATGGGCGGCGGTCAGTCAAACACGGCCGCGCCCCGCCGGCCCCGCCCCGCCACAGCTCCAGTTCGCACGCCCAGTGACTCACGACATGTTGCTTTGCGGTGTGGCGAGGCTGCGCAGGTCGGTAGCGGACTCGCCTAAGCTGCGGTCAGGATGGACACTTGACCGCTGGGAAATGGCCAGCAGCAGCGCCAGCAGAGCGAGGCAAAGGGCCCGGCGCGCCTCGCCACGCCCGCAACACCCCGCCAAAGCCGCCGCCGCCGCCTCGGCCCCGCCAGCCCGACCACAGAGAGCCGCAGCAGGATCAACGAGAACAGCAGCGCGGCGGCGGGACGTGGCGCGAACGCGAAAAAAGAAAGCCCTTGACCTTGGTCGTTGGTACTCACCCGCTCGTCCTGGCGCGGGGGCCACCCGGCGCCTCCTTGCAGGTCTCTGTCGCGGCTGCCGCGGCCGCGGGCCCCGTCCTGGAGGCGCACACGGCCGTGCGCACGATCAGGTCCCGGCACGCGCGCTGCAGCCCGCGGAGCTCCGCCTCGGCCTGGAGGATGCGCTGCGGGCAGAGACACGGGCTCGACATTCAGGGGAGGGCACTCGAAACGGAGGGAATCAAAAATAGGAAGCACTTAAGGTCCGTCGGACCGGAAGGGGATAAACGAAATCGGAAGTCAGAAATGGCAGCACACTACAGTCAATGACTGGGCTCGGCTAGCACCTGATATGAAGTTGAGATTCACAACACAGATCAACAACCAAAATTCAGACAAAGTTTATCATGTACCGTTCATTCCGAACTTGCGGTTTTGTTGTTTTCTGCGCCAGACATTTGGAGTTTCCCTATTGTACATTGTACTTTATTTTTACATTTTTAAATGAAAAGTTGGAAAGAAAATAAAATCAAAAATACGTGCTTTAGGAGCGTAAATTGCTTTGAACAGACTGTAAGACTCACCTCTCGCATGCCGTCCAGCGCGCTGGAGCCGGGTCTGAGCACGGCCTCCAGCTGCCTCGCCAGCCGCCGCAGCCCCGCCAGGCGCCGCTCCCGCTCCGAGGCCTCCTGGTCCGAGCCCGTGTCCGAGATGCCCGAGTCCGACAGCGACCCGCCCTCGGAGTAGCGGAGCGCGGCCGTCTGCGCGTCCGCCAGCACCACCAGGGAGCTCTGCAACGAGAACAAAGAGCAAGCAGTGAGCGGGGTGCTCGGCGTCGTCGGAGGGTAGGGAGTGCTCCTGTGTCCCGAACGGAAAGTACTTCGGTTGTGCCCTAGTTGCACTCCAAGACTCCAAGTGTACTCCGGGTTTGCTTTACACTAGGTGTAATACTCCAGGTGTGTACCGCGGTGTGTACTCTAGGTGTACTCCGGGTGTACTTTGTGTGTACTCCGCGTGTACTTTGTTAGTACTCGGCATACTTAGAGCTTCTGCATACAACCCCCAAAATTCGCGTCGTGGACTCGTCGAGTTAAAGCGCAGTGCTCCAGGGAAGCGGACGGGCCGTCGGCCCCTCAACTCGATTACAGTACCCCGCCATGTTCAAACAGATGTAACCCCGCGTCGCTCCGCGTTCATCCCTCTGCCACTGCTCCGCTCACCCCTTTGGGCCGGGGTTGGCTGGGGTGGGGAGGGAGGCTGGGCGCCAGACCCACCTTGCATCCATCTCTCGGGGAGCGGGGCATCAGCACAACCACCACATAATGAAACCCGTGGACGGCATAACAAACAAGGACCCTCGCTCTCCCTCCCGCCCCGGCCCACACAGCATCCGATGTGATGGACCCATCCGGCTACAAGGACGCCTCTCGCCGTGATAAAGCACGCCCCGATAGAGGTCCTGCGCTGCCGCACGAGATATAGCGCGGAGGAGAGGCGCACACCGCCGAGAGCGACAGAGACAAGAAATAGGGGCTACGGCAAGGCCGTCTCTCTCGGACTCGCATCCCGCCCAGCCTACAGCAGCTGCACTGTAAAATTTTAAGTCGTCATTTTACGAAAATGTCACAACTAAATTTTACTCTGAAAAGGTTCGTCACAAGGGGCAAGACGATTGTTTCGTCACGTGACAACCTCAATCGTAAAAGCCAGTAAAATGGATGTGTCGTAACATAACTGGAAAAGAGAAATTCGGTACGGTGGGAATAGAACATCGGACCTTCGGTGAGGAAACAAGCGCCCTTTAACCACACGGCTACAGAAGCTACCTGTATGGGGTCGTGCTGGCATCCAGAGCCTAGCCACGAGCGCTTATTGGCTTCTAGGTTCGTGACAGTTATTTCGTCACGTGACAAACGTTTCATTTATCTCGATTGCCGGATAGGTCATCACAAAAAACGAATGGTTCGTCACAATGTGAATAAGATTTGCTCATCTCAACAACAATGATGACAAACTTCGTCACAATATTTTTCGTCAAATGATGATTCGGTTTAACAGTGTGGCCTTTTCTAACGTGTGCTATCTGCGTGCAAACGCCGGGCGCTACCCTATGGCTTCCGGTCGGTGTATACATATAACTGCGAGCGGTTTTCATCCCCAAATCCAAGCGCTTCCACGTAAACGATCCCCCCCCCCCC